GTTAGCTTTTCTAACATAGAAATTATAAGGGATCAGTACTTCTATGTCATTTTTGTATGTCTGCTTCATCTAGAAGTCATCTAGAAGCCCCAGTTGGCCTTAGCAGAAAGTCTCTCACACTAAGCCTGGTTCTGCTGATGATTCGGCTTGGAGTTTTTCCTCTTGACTTTTGCTGCATACATGCTCAGTGTGAGAAACTCAAGTCTTTTGAGATGACGTGTTGTGAATTGGTGCTATATAGATAAACTGAAATAATTTTAATTAAAACAGCATTCTTTATGTTAAAAGCCAGACAGGTTCCCTACAAGGTTCTTTGTAATTCTTACATGTTTTACACATTGGTAGAATAGAAATAAGTTGGTTGTTACTTATAACAAAAACAAGAACAGAATTGCTGGTTTGTGTAAAATATTGTGCACTATTACATGAGACATCAAGCTGCTTTAGCTAATTATTTTGGACAGTTATGTTGGTTAAAGTGCAACATTGCACAACTACAGTTATTTAGCTTGAAGTTGGCATCACCAACAAATTAATCTTAGTGTAAAACTACATATGTTTTTGTTGTGTATAGATCAGTCTGATGCACATGAAGAGCCTCATTCAGGTGGTTTTGTCACAGGCCAGTCCAAGCTTCTTCATCGCTGCTATACCAGGTGAGTCCAGTCACTCACACAGCGGCCATGCTGTAAAAAGTAAGAAAAATGCTGTAAAAGACTGAAATTTGTTCAGAGAAGGTTAAATGACAAACTTTTATCCTCCGAGGCCTATACAACAAGAAAAATAGCATCTCACTAAGCTGCTAAGCACTAAACTTTGCCGCTTAATTGCGAGGAAAACACAAATAATCATATAAAGAAAACCTCAAATATCCTTAAGCAAATCAGCAAACTCTGTCAGCGACAGAACACAACGCCACACAACAGAGTAGCGAGAAACTATAACAAAAATCAAAACAAAATGCTCCCCAATCCGTGACAGGCGCGGAGACAAATCCAATTATTCGTGTCTCATGTTGCAAATTTGTTCTAATGGTTGGAGTGAGAAAGTAAATAAACGCCTGTGAAGGAGAAACAAAAGAATGTGATTTCTAATTAACTTGAAAGAGGAACAGCAGGGCGACTTAGTAAACCCATCTTTCATCTGCAGCCTCGGACCACTCATTTGTTTGTTGCACAATGTTGTCTTCAGGATGGGTGGGTGGAGGGGGGGTGCACTGTACAGCTTCCCTCCAAATGAAATGTCAACAGATTTAACAGCGTTGAGGAAGGAGCTGCAGCGTTTCCCAGCGTTTTGTCGATTTTATTGTTCATTAAGCTCCCTCCTCCTCTCCCACTTGTTCCAGGCTTCATTTGCACCATCTTGGCTTTGAAGATCACACAAGGCTGAGGCAATAATTGGGTTTGTGCAATTACAACGAGCATAATGAGAGAATTCAGGAGTTTGTCTTAACCCTATCTCCGTAGCTCCGCCAGCATTGCCGTCAACTGTCACTTTCGGCCGCTTACTCTCTGAAGGACTCATGATGAGGGAGGATCTTATCGCTTCTGCAGATGTAGCATTCTTAGCACATACTTGCGTGATGAAGTGGCTAGATATGCTAATTGACTTTTAAAAAGAAAAAGCACAAGAGCACAGAAGATCAAGAGAAACAGCAGAGAAATCAAACACCAAGTTGACAAGATAATCACACAAACTGATCTAAGAGCTTGGAGGACATTACTGAGATCAATAGGAATGGGATGCAAAACTTGAGTGACTAATTTATATATGAATTTGAGGTTATTCTTAAAAGCCATATGCATGTATAATTTGAGTGTTTCTCCTTTGATGCTCTGGTATCTCTCAAATTTAAGCAGCAGGCAAGCAGACTGGATTCTAAGGTCTAAGGTTCTTGTCGTCTGTGATGTGGGATTGCCTAAAGTTCCTCTCTTGGTGTCAGTAATCTGCGTTATAACATTTTGGTGGATGCATTTCTACTAATGTTTTTGCCCCTCGTGACTCAGCTAATGATCTAATGTATATCATTATCTCGTGAAACATCCTTAAAAATCTAGGACATTTGTTACATTGCAACAAATAAAACTGTTTTTATTCAGAATTTGATACAACATACCAACACAAAGTATAATTGGGACATGGGAGGAAAATAATAACATTTCTGACATGCATAGAAATTTCTACATGCATATCACCCTGAGCGCAGGACAGGGTGGTGGCAGTATTATGCTGTGAGTGGGGAAGTCGGACAGAGAGGATAGGATGATGGATGGAAATGATCCTGCAGGAAACTTGTTAGAAGCTTAAAAAACTTGAGAGTGGAAACATCATTGGAATAGTATGGGATATTTAGTAGTCATGCATCCATTCTTTTTAAAAACATGATGGTTCAAGCTGGATAGAATAACTGACCTTAATGCCTACTTCTGATTACCGGTAGTCCTTTTAGTGGTTCTGATAAAAGCTAACAGGGAATGTTGTAGACATTCATAAATAATTACAAGCAAGCTGTTAAATTAGATTTAATCATGTCACGGTTTACAGTATTAGCATAACAGTTACACTCTTAAAATAGTATAGTATGAGT